TGCCGACCGTTCAACGAGCCCTTTTGATAAAGAATTTCATAATACATAGCTGCTGCAAACTATGAACTGGATTTCCTGAATGTGGGGCGGGTCTTATTACTCTGGGTTCATGAGACACGCCTCCGTTCAGGAAATCCATTCCATAGTTTGAAGCCAACATGCATCATGGATCGGAAATATCGGCAGGTGGATCGGAGAAATCCGATACATAAATTATGCTGGTATCAGAGGCCGATACCAGATCGGCCCCATCCCTCCTAGCAATTATGTATCACCTTGGTTCTCACTGTGGTCCAAGAACAATTGGGATCGATTTAATTCAGTGCTTCCCCTACCATTATACAAGCAGGGCGCCCCGCCCCATCAACAGAACCGAGCGCCCCGTCTACCGAACCCCACCCCCCATCCCAACCACCTGTCAGCACTGACGTAACGCTAAACTAGCGGCTCTCAATGCAGGTGTGCTAGCTACAAAGCTAAAGGCAGCCTCTTCCTTCGTGCTGAACCCTCACGCTGAACGCACCCCCGCCACTTGAAAACTGTCTGTTCAGTGCGCGCAGCTCAGATGTGTCTCTGTCTCTCTCCTCTCACACACCCTGCTCGAAAACTGTTAGTTTAAACTGCGCGCTGCGCAGCTTAGGACGTGTCTCCATCCGTCTCAACCCCCCCGCATGACAAAAATCACGGATGAGATGATCGCCCCACCATGGCAAGTTATCTAGGGGAAACACTGTAATTGTACTCAGAAGAAATGTCAGCATAAAAAGTTAAATAACCATCTTAATCTGAACTGCGCTGAAATTCTAAAGAGATATCAAATGGATGTATGAAGGGATCAAACAAATAACTATGGCTTCAAATGGAAACGAACAATACTGAAGAAACCCTGTGTAAAATGAAGTTTTGTAGGGCAGTACTTCCCAAAGTGGGGTACTCATACCCCTGGGGGTACGCAAGAGGGACGAGGGGGTGCGTAAGAAAATTTGAAAAAATAAATTAAAAAATGTGGAAAGAGCCAGACTGCACTCGCACATAAACAGACTGAGGCACCTTCTTACATAACCCAATAATACCCAAGTAAAAGCTGCCATCTAGTGTTCTGCAAAATCATTGCACGGACAAAGTAGAAGGGTGTGACAATGGGTGTGACTCGCTGAAGGAACACCTGACAACAAAGCAGCCTTTGCTCAACTTCTTGTCGGGATGCGAAAACACGAGAAGCCATTGCTGGATTTCTGGATGGGACTGTGCACAGAACAGCCTGCGCAGGTCGAACGTGCTGTGAACACTTGGATGCCCTTTGCTACAACGTACTTGTGTGAAAGTGGATTCTCAGCTGACAAATGTGAAAACAAAATACAGAGCAAGACTTAGTGTTAAGAACGATTTAAGACTCAGACTGTCTCAAATTAAGCCAAACACAACAGAGTTGAGTGCGTCCTTCCAAGCACAGCCTTCTCATTCAAACTGTGGTGAGTTTAACTGTTAGTTATCACACCATAAATGTTTTACAGCACCGGTATATACATTCTACACAGGTTAAACGTTTGGATGATTCAGCATGTTGCTCAACATGTTGCTTATTAATGCTGATATTTATTAATAAATATCATTTGGTGAGAAAAATGAACAGTTGTTTAAGATTTTATTTGATATGTGCAGTGTTTATTACATAGCATTTTAACGGGAGGGTACTTGGCTAGAGGTCAGATGTCTGAAGGGGTGCACATCTGAACAAAGTTCGGGAACCATGATCTCATTTTAACAAGGACCGTGCAGCACAAGCACACACCAGCATTAAGATGAATGGACTCAGGCTGAGTGTTCACGTTTAGACCATCCCTTACAAGTTACAATGAAAACCTTTTATTCCTCCAACATCCTTTATGTAAAAAATAAAAACAAAGTGTCTTCAAAAGTGTACAATATAGAAAATAATATTAAGTGCATGACATATATCTAGCAGTTCATCTTCGTAGCAGAGAGGTCTAACAGGTTACTCTACTTTCTAATCTTTAGTTTCAGCCAAAACACAAGAGCAGTTACAAAAATCTTTGCGAAATTTGTTGTGAAGTCTGACAAATATAAACTTGGTTTTGTCACAACAGAGCTATTGTCGAGAGTTTCTGGAGACATGAGCTTGCAGAAGCATAATTCAAGGTCCCACAGCAGTTCTCTCTCAGACAACCCTTTTAAGACATGGCAGTAAATGAGATGTGACATCTCCGCCTCTCCAGATTATTAAATACAGCCACATTCTTAAGGAACCAGCGTCTGATGTGTCGCTCTGCATCAGTCTATAAATAAATGGAAACAAACTGATGTTAGAAAAGGAAGGGGGAAATGTTGGTTGACGAACAAGGAGCAGAGGATCTTAAGGGTGCACGGTGGTGGCCAAATGATTGTCCCCAATATTTGAATTGCTGCTTCAAATGTTTGGGTGAATTCAGTTGGTTTTCAGGTTTGTTGTCATGTGTACCCAGTGTTTCCCCTCGTTAACTCGCCAGGCAGGGTGCTCTTCTCAGCCATGCTTTTTGTTGACAGGAGAGACAGAGACATGTCAGAGTGCAGCTTGTACAGACAGTTGAGTGTGTGCTCAGCATGAGAAGAGGCAGCACGAGCACTGCCTCGAGCTCTTTAGCCAGAGCGCCTGTATTGCGCACCACTAGCTTGGCGCTACGTCAGTGCCGGGGAAGGGGGAGTTCAGTTTGGCAGGCGGGTGCTCAGCTCTGTTGACGGGGTGGGGCGCCCGCTTGTATGATGGTCGGGGAAACACGGTGTGTACCTGAGATAATGTCACACATGTAATTCTTATTCTGTGCAAATAAAAGAGTAAAGAAATGCACAGAACAGACCTATATATTTAATAAGTAGCAGGTGTAAGGAGCAGAAACAATTATTTCTTTCTGTACTAACTTAGATTAGAACTAAGAGCTTTTTACACTTGATTGACTTGTGTTTAAAGTTACACTGGATACCTGCTTTCACATCCCAGACAAATCTAGCAAGTCGTGTTTCTTGTGTCTACACCTTTTTGTACATTGTTCAGGCAGCCGCTAGTAGAACGTCTTGGATGTACTTGTGCTCACACACCAGTGTGGCTTGGTTACTTAGAGCTCGTAACAAAACTGGTCATATTCATTACAATTAATGGAGTGCCTGGCACCGCTCCAGCTACGTTACTGCATCACTCTAATGCACACACGCACCAGTAAATACTGTGCTGAGTCATCTTTCATCGGCTTTCTGGCACAAACCAAGAAGCACTTTGTCCTCATCCCAGTCAGGCGAGCTGGACGAGGACAGGAGAAGATGAGGTTGTGTACAGAACGGCCTCTCGTGCTGCGGTTTGCTCCTCCGCAGCTGAAATGGTTACTGTGATGAGACCTGGACACCCACGGGTTTTCTGAGTAGAACCAAATCGAACTACACAATCAATTTAAAAATACAAATCTGTTTAAATCAAACATCATAGCACTAACATTTTCATATTGCAGTAGTTCTGTTTTACAGCCAAAGCATCTGTTTCACATCACGCACGAGTATTCTGAACTCTGCAGCAGAGCGGTCATCTGCTCTGAGCAGGGAACTGCAGTCAAGTGAAAGCTCACTTGTCGTGAATTTGAAGTTTCTTTCCTGAGTTAGATGCATGCAGGTGACCAACACAACTTGCCAACAAAGTAAACCTTTATTCTTGATTCATCCTACCTGTATGAGTGAGATGCTGTGAAAGTTTCGCCTTACACCCTCACAAACCGTCTTTTTGGATTAGCTCATGATGTGCTCCATCACTGATCTGGGCCTTTTCTAAATCTAAACTGTGTGATTCACAGGGCAAAAAACAAACTATAAAAACAACACAAAAATGCCTGAGTGACAGTAGGTATTAAAAGCCTGCCTGAATCAAAAGGTTTTAACATTTGCGCTGTGAAGCGCCTTCAGCCTGCTGTAAAAAGCTCCATGTTGATCGACTCATTTGCTTCATGAGGACCTTGTTGATGGTATGGCTTGATGCAGCACACTAAGAAGTCTACATCAAAGGTTTGCTTTTGTAAAAATAAAAAAAAGTTCTCTCTTGCCTTAGCCAAGCTGCAGCCAGTTCAAACTTTAAGTGAACGGACAAGAAGTTTCTGTGGTGACACCTTTCTTCTGTGCTGGTGCAGCTTTGCGGTGCACCAGGACCGTGACAATTAAGAAAATAAGTTGCTCCAAACCTTTCTGTGTTCAGGTTGCACCTTGGACAGCTGTTGTGAGCTGTGACATGAGGGCATGATCATGGAAGTTAGTCACATGTGTTCCCAGCACCACTAAGTACACCAACACAGAGCTTTATACTGACTCCTGATGTCATCCCAGAGCTGCTGCAACACGAGTTTATGTCTCGTTAAAGCTTCTGAACAACTCTTTGGTTGTTCAAATGTTCTCAAATAAGTGACTGTGCGTTAGTTTTAGCCTTAATCAACCTAACACAGGTCTATGAAGGGAGGGTTATATGAAACAAAACTCCTGCATGAATATATCACCATCACTGCTTGTTGCACTGATGGTGACCAGTACAAATTCATGAGATATTGTAGGACTCGGCACACACACACACACACACACACACACAGGTTTGTTTTGCTATCTTTGTGGGGCCTTTGCATTGACTTCCATTCATTTTTCATTCATTTCTATAGCCTAACCATGACCTTTATCCATAACCTAACCATTACCAGTACATACCTAACCCTAAACCTAACACATCCTCAATTCACACCTTAGTCCTAAACCTAGCCCCTAACCCACCAACGGGACTTCTTCTTATGGGGCCCGGGCTTTGGGCCCCATAAGGAGCAGTTGGTCCTCACAATGTAGTATAAGTTGGAAAAATGGGCCTCACAAAGTAGCATAAACAAGGACACACACACACACACACACACTGCTTCATACTAACCAGTAGAAGGCAATTTTATCAGCAAGCTTCTTGTCATGAACATTGCGGTCGAGGAGGTTGTAGCAGATGTTGGTGGTGGCTCCTTCCATACATTTGATAAAGATTTCTCCTTTGGTCACATCAAAGTTGTAGTCCAGAAACTGCCCCGTGTGTTTGGTCCTCCAAAAGAAGTCCTCGGCTATAGCGCCCCAAAATTCTATGAAAAAGAATTAGGCTGGTAAGAAAGGGAACCATCTGACTGTTAAGTACAGAGTAAACAAAGGAGGCAGATATTTGTTTCTAAAAAACTAAAAATGTTTGTTGTATAAAAAGTATGTCATTTTAATCTAGGGTGCAAAATGTATGACAAAACCTTTTTTTACTACATTACAAGTGCTCTCATGAAAAATATGTAGTAGCAGATAGCCTTAACAATTTGCCTTTCATCTACATCCTGGAACAAATCGGGGGCACAAGACCTTGATCAGGGACAGGGCTGCATAGGAACTGTACCTCAGGCAGCCCAACTGGAAAAGTGATGGGACGGGAAATCATCAGTTCACACCTCACCAAAACATAGGTGCATTACAATTACTACTGCAAGATCGACAAACTAGAGCCACTTCTCTGCAGACGTGAGTCCCTGCGGCTCAGTGGGACTAACCTGTATAAATAACGGTTGAATGAATGAATCCGTTTGCATCAGCTCAGCATCACCCAATCGAGTCTCCATTTTCTGTTCCTGCTTGGTTTATGGACCCGCCTGAGCTGCAGTTCCAAGACAGCTGCACCAAGTAAACTGTTTTGACGTGAGCTGTTGAGCAGCGTTAAGAGTTGCATCTGACCCGACCCCAGCCCGTAGCCATCATTTCCAAACCCCACCTGACCCGACGAAATAACAGGAATTACTGGTCCAAACCCCCCAAAACCCCTGACATTATTAATTAAGCTTTGATTGCTTATATACTTATTAACGGTCGGTGGACGAGAGGCGGCAGAAGATCAGAGATGAGGGGGTGTTTGTTGTAGTGAACTAGGCCTCCGACCACAACCTGTCTCTGAAGACCTTCAGGGGACAGGAACTGTTATTTCATTGATTTGAATCCAGAAATACAAATTATCTCATCAAGAGACTATTTAATTGTATCCTGAATTAATCAATTGAAAGAACACTCTTCTTTTTTACATTATCAGTACTATTTTAAGATATCTTGATAATCAAAGTGTGTTTAGTTCATATCATTTCTAAATGTTGAAGTGAACCACTCATTTAAATCAACTGTGAAACAATATTAATGATTTTTAAACCTCATTTAAATTAGAAATCAAGTTAAATGTCTATTTACAAAGTAATTATGCATTTTGATCTTCTGTCTGAATGAGGAGTAGTGATGTCGGTCGAAAGTCAGAGACAGTCAGAAAGCAAGTTATTAGAACAAAGTGTCTTGTTTTTAAACCTAGCAGACAGTAAATAACTTCAACTGGCATCTGCGTTTGTCTCACTTCGCCATAACATTTCTCTGTCTGTACTAAACGTTCCTAAACATTCCTGCAGCCTCTCTTGACTTTTAATAACCCTCTGACATCACTGAAACACCCCCCTGCTGGTCGTTTCAAGCAATCAGGAAGTACCAAGTGACCGGAAGTGAGGACTCTTTAAAGGTCAAAACTTCGTGGAACTAGTCAGTCTTCAGTCTTTGACCGGAGTCTTCCTGGAGTCTTCCACTTCTGAGTGGAATCTCTGACGGAGTCACAGCGCCTCGCTGTGAACTCACCCGGGCGTAACGCCCTACAACTTCGAAGGAAGCTTGTCTGTTGGACGGAGTAAATCGTCAGGACTTCTGACAATGCCCAGCCACCCTGACCGGAGACGCTGGAAAGGTAGCGTTGAAATGGACCCTGTACCGGAGCTGATTCATCCTCTGTAAAGGTAACGAGTTGTCACGCAACGAGTGTACCAGGGGTTTGAGCTGGTGTTGGAAGAAGCGTGCTAATTCTGGTCAACAAACATACATCTTCCTTCATCCATCTTCCTTTAAACTTATTCATTCCTTCTTTTAAACTTTTTATTTTGCCAGTAATCTAGATGCCTCAATCAGTAATGTTCTGTTGTCTTGTTAGTAAAGCGTGCCAAGTTTATTAATCAGAACCAGATCAGCAAATCAATGTGTACATGTTTGATGTTAAATTTTGATTCTGTTAAATAAATGACCGCATTTATTGTGATGGGTCAAAGATAAAATGGCGTCTCATGTCACTGATTAAACAATCCTCACAGTTATCTCATCACATGGCAGAAATTTAACTCGAAAAAGAAATAATCCGTTGTATTTAAAAAATTAATATTCTTTGTGCTTGAACTAGCTTTAAGAATAATTAATTAGTAGTGAAGAGACAGTTAAGCTGTCCCCCAGACTAGGGCTGGGCCATAATAATGTGCTTTATGTGCGGCCGGTCTGGCTTCTGATTGTGGATGCGTGTGACTGATGATCCAAATGTATGGCAACATGGCTTGCCATACAATCACCAGCCGCACGCAGCCATTTGACTGCTCGCTGACCGGCCTTGAAAGAGGTAAGAAAAGCTTCAGATGGGACTGTACTGCCAGGCAGCGATCCACCAGCCCAAATGGATGTTCATTCAGCCGCTGCACTCAGCGGACGCGCGGCCGATGACCCAAACAGGTGAGATCCCAAAATGTCTGACATGTCAGAGCATGTCCTTGTCTGAATAATGCAGAATGCAGCAGAAGCAAGGATTTAATGCGTTTTGACGGCCATGAAAGGACAATGTAGTGAATGTGGGGTAGGGGACACCCTGGACAGGTCTCCAGTCCATCACAGGGACACATGGAGACAAACGAGACAAACAACCATTCAGTCTCTCACTCACACTTAGAGATAATTCAGAGTCACCATCAGTCTAACATGCATGTTTTTGGTCTGTGGGAGGAAACTGGAGTACTTGGAGAAAACCCACACATGCACAGAGAGAACATGCAAACTCCACCCAGAAGGTCCCTGGACCAGGATTTGAACCGACAACCTTCTTGCTGAGAGGCAGCAGCTCTACCAGTTGTGCCACCGTGCCATGCACCTGCCCTTGATTCATCTGTCATGAAATTACGTTACTGTAAAAAAATGCAACTACAACTACAACAAATAATAGAGCCTTAATTGTTATCCATCCATTTCTTCCGCTTGTTTTGAAGTGAGGTCGCGGGGCACAGAACTGTGACGTTACACCAGACACACGTTCAGACTGTTACACATCGTGTCTCGTCATCTGACTCGCCGTGCGCTCTGCAGTTTGATGCATTCTGCTCCCGACAGTAGATTTAAAATGTGTAATAGCTTCGATCTTGTCAGACTCAATAATCAGCAGCACTTCTCCAACCGACCTGTGCCAAATCACATTCACCAGCTACCACTGACAAAACCAAAAGCAATGTTTTGACCTTTACCTGCGTGGATGTGTTCGTTTCTCTGTAGAGAAGTATCTGATCAACCACTACACGAGTTGTAATGAAGCTCTGAGAAAGACTGAGTGATGTAGATCTACAACGGATTCATTTTCATGGAAGCTGCTGTGGTGACACTGAACAAAGTCTGCAGTATCAAGAGTACATATGAATACTGATCCTTTTCCTGTCATGTTCTGGAGCCTGGAAAACCTCGAGTGACATGTCAGTCCACTCAGGAACCAACATGTGGTTTTATGTCGAAACGAGCTACATAATTTGTTAAATGTTGGCAGAAAATAATTATGGCAGAACAATGTTTCGAGAATAATCTTAAAATGTTACTAAATACATGGTTTGTTCCCATTATTGGCTCTTGAAGGCAAACGGAGGCGCGTGAGACCCGCAGCTTTCTGTGATTTGGGTTTTTAAGGACTTCGTGCTCACACGTGCCAAAAGAACCAGGAAGTACAGAAACAAACAAAAACTGAAGCTTGACTCTGAACATGTTCAGACACAGGTCTGATGTAGACCTACCTCCAGGATTCTGCACAGAACGAGTGTAGAGCTCCTTGTACTTCTCAAAGCTGGGGACGTGAGCCTCCCTCTTCAGGTCCTGGGACCCCAGGAAGACGTCTTCCTCCGGGGCTTTGTCCGGAATCATGTCGGGCTCGGTCTGTGGAGGACTGCGGCTCAGCAGGTCTGACGGGACCCTTCCTTCAGACCAACACACGGACTCAAGTCTGAGCTGTGGACAAACACCGACCCTGACCCGCTCCGAGCCTACAGAACAGCCGGATCCTGCTCGAACCGAACCCACTCCTTACATTTCATAGGACGGACAATCTCGCGCGAAGAGCAAAAGACCGCTAAGCGCTCGAGCTAAATTCATTCAGACTTCCTTGTTCTGCAGAATGCTGTTTCTCACTCTTTATGATCAAACTAAACGTCCAAGAGCTCTATAAGAGCCTACGACTGACAGCTGGGCTGTAAAGTAACTCCCGGGCCGGTTCTGGCGGGAGTCCGAGGGCCTCCAGTCGATCCGGACTGACAAAACCCCAACAAATGTAGGAGGGAGCTAAGCTAACAGGCTAGCTAGCTCACTCCAGGAAAACACCGAGCTCTAGTTTCGAGTCCAAAAATGTTTTTTGCTTTAGCTATAACGGCTGTGTAAACTTTTGTATAAAATAAAAATGTGCTTTCGTTCAGCACAGTATCGCATATGGTCCCCAGTAGACTGAAAATGTAATGTTTATATCTGACCGCTGGCACTTGTCCGTGTCTTCTGTTGTACGCGCGAGGCGCTCACTCACGGCCCCTGAACGCAACCAACCACAGCTCGTGGTGCCTTCACGTGCGACTCGGAAACTACACATTCGTTTTACTTGTAATTTTGTTCCATTTATTTGGGCTCATCAAGTCAAGCAAACAATAACGTTCAAACTTTTATGAGTTTATTTTAAAAATGTGTTATTTAGACACGACAGTGAATAAAAAACTTTGTGTTAATATTTCTTGTTATAAAAATGTCTACATTATGAGCCGATGTCGTTTTAGATAAAAAAATAATAAGCTATGGACTTGTAATTGTCCACTAGATCTCCTTCCCTGTCGTCTCTTCAGTGGTACTCCTTGAGGAGGATTGATCTCACAAAGCAACATCCCACACTCTGTCGCCATGATCCGCTGTGTGAGGTGCTGGCCGACAGTCATCCTGCCACCTGGCCCTGCCTGCCTGAAGACCACCACCTACACATGAGCAAATGAAGCCTGTATGAAGCACTGAACCAGTTGAGAAGGGGCTTTGAACCAGTTGGGCCAAATGTTTCAAAAATAGGTTCATTTGTTGAAGCGTCACTTACAGTGCCCTCTTGTGGCAATTTGCAATGCTACTGTCAAATTAGGCATGATGATTTTGGTGGCACACACCGAAGAACTTCAGTGACCAGTGTTAAAGAAACTATTCACTGTGGTAAAAAACTGATTTTTAAAAAAGACCCATTCAGTGTTGGTAAACAAAGAAGCTGCGCGCGCATCGTAGCAACAGAAGTACTGCTTCAGATGGTAAACCCAGGCGGTATTCCATCATCACACAGACTCTAACGCTAAATAAGTACCATCACCAGAATCAAAATGTCAGGTTGTTGGGTTTACGGTTGTTCAAACCAGGACGGGCTTAAATTCTACCGTGTAACAAGAGGTAATCGACTGTTTCAGAGCCACCGAAGGCTTCAGGCTGTCAAACAGGTGGATTGGACTGAACAGGTCTGTGGTGGGACAGCATGGTGGTGCAACTGGTAGAGCTGCTGCCTCTCGGCGAGCAGGTCCCTGGTTCAAATCCCGGTCCAGGGGCCTTTCTGGGTGGAGTTTGCATGTTCTCTCCGTGCATGCGTGGGTTTTCTCCGGGTGCTCCAGTTTCCTCCCACAGACCAAAAACATGCATGTTAGGCTGATTGGTAACTCTAAATTGTCCCTAGGTGTGAGTGAGAGAGGGAATGGTTGTTTGTCTCGTTTGTCTCTATGTGTCCCTGTGATGGACTGGAGAACTGTCCAGGGTGTACCCCGCCCCTAACACAGTGACATGGGCACGGGCAACCCCCGTGACCCAAAATGGAAGAAGCGGGTAAAAGATAATGGATGGATGGATGGATGGGTCTGCGGTGCCCATTTTATATCAGGTAAGGCTGTGTGTCTATACTTTTATTTCAATAGAAACTCTTGTTATCAACAGTTGTTTTAAAGTGTAGACCCACAGTTTACAGCTGTTACCTAGTTATTAGCTACTTATTAGCTAGTTATTAGCTAGTTATTAGCTAGTTGCTAACAAACACGTACATGTGTGCTTTCTTTACAGGTGACATCACTGGACAGGCAGAGACCTGATTTTGTTCCTTCTGTGTTTGTGCACACACTAAAGATGGAAAGGTATAGAGCTCTGAACCTACGTCACTGCGTTGGGGGCGTTCCCGTCTCCACCACCATGTTTCCTGTCCTCAGAACAAAAAACCTCTGGTGTTTGTCTGTGCTGTCAGCGCTGTGTCCTCCTTCATAACGTTGAAGAGCAGCTCAAAACAAAGTGACGATATCGTGACAAACTTCTCCCACATGATTAAAAACTGTGCATGGAAAAATTAGGTCACATTGGAAATGTCGCCCACTTGGGGAAAACTGAAAAAGGAGCAGAGACCCGGAGTAATATTTGCCTGCACTGACATTCCCAGTGGTTTTATCAGAGCTGGTGTGTGTCAGTGTTTACACCACAAACCATTTAAAGAACTACAAGTTACTGGAAGCGCTGGTCCAATCTATGAACGACCGGGTGCACGATTTGTACATTTTAAATCCCCGGATTGAGAATATGTTGTGGTTTGTACAAAGGCACGTGCTCTTGGATCCTTAATTCTACATAAATTATTAATGTAC